TATCAATCAATCTGTTTATATTTTATAAAAATCTGGTAATGACAGACCTGGAATTTTTAATAAAAGCTGAAAATTTTATGTAAGACTCATTGTTTTAGTTTTATACTGATTTTAACTGAAAAGGGAAGTTTAGTTCAACCACGCAGATAACAGAAACTTGCCTGGACTGTAATTAATCAGATGTATTATGTTGTAATGTACTTAACCTAAGTATGCAGTTGAGTTTGAAAACAAATTTTGGTATTAGGGAGGGAGTTTACGTATATTTAATGGAATTGTTGTGTGTTTTTGTGTGCAGCCATTTTGAATGAGCTGCTGCAGAGAGAGAACAGAGTCCTTCACTTCTGGACGTTGAAGAAACGACGGCTGGACCAGTGTCAGCAGTATCTGGTGTTTGAACGCAGCGCCAAACAGGTCACTGTGTGTGTGTGTGTGTGCGAAACAAAAAAGTTTTGGCTGGATTTTGGTTTTGGGGAAATGTGCAGCAATAAAGGGACATCTGGTTTATTTGATCAGGTAGTGAGTTTATAAGAGCAAGTATACAGAGATCGAGGATCAACTTTATCTATTGTGTGTGTGTATGTGTATGTATGTGTGTGCGCGCAGGCACTGGATTGGATCCAAGAGACAGGTGAAGTTTACCTTGCCACACACACGTCACCTGGAGACAGCAGTGAGGAAACACAGCAGCTCCTCAATAACTATCATCACTTCAGACTTACTGCTAAGGTATACTGTGTGTGTGTGTGTGTGTGTGTGTGTGTGTGTGTGTGTGTGTGCAGATCAGCTACTGGCAGCTTTATTCTGCCACAAAGGAACTGCTGGGAACATCAAGCCAGTAAACGTAATATGTAAAAACTGTATCTCCTTGCACAAACTTGCAGAAAACTGGCTTTGCAATAAGACATTTCTATTGGCAGATTCTTGTAACTCCTGTCCTGCCTACATTTAAGTGAAAGAACAAAAGGTATCTAGAGTACTCCAGATGCCAAATTAAAGGAACTAGGGAATTCAGATGCCCTGTTCAGTGGTTGCTTCTCCTCATTTTATTGCTTACAGTTATTATAATACAGTCTAGTTTCCATTCCAAATGTTTGACAACTCATAGTAAGTGTATGTATGGACAGGAATCGTAGCTGACAGGTATTGGATGTGCACCAATATTTCATTTCTCTTCAACACAATGGCAGGGCCGGCCATTAGGAAGGAAAATAAAAAATAAATATGTGATAGAAAGAAATCAAAGAACCAATAAAGTGTTTCTATGCATTCTGTGAACTTTATTTTAATAAGATCACACACTAAAAAAGAATATAGTCTGTATTGTATTGAGTTGACACAGAACATCAGTGACTCCTTCAGTTAAACAGTATTTAATCTGGATCTGTGTTTGTGTGTGTACTTTTCGCAGCAAACCAAGGAGAAGGTGAAGCTGCTGATCCAGTTGGCAGACAACCTGGTGGAGAAAGGCCATGCCCACGTGTCGGAGCTGAAGCGCTGGGTCAGCACAGTGGATCGCAGATACCGCGACTTCTCCCTACGCATGGCCAAATACCAGGAGAGCCTAGAAAGGAGCCTGGGAGTCAGCTCTGAGGTGAAAACATGTACACTTTTATTCAGTTTTCACATATTTTTGATTGAAATTGAAACCAGTTATTGGTCTTTGGTTTGGCCGTCTTTCAGATTGTTCATCTCATATTCTAAATGTCCCAGTGTGGTGTCACGTTAGTGTGGTTACAGAGAAAATAGGTACAGTTTTTTCCATTTTTGTTTTAGATTATTGACAAGAATGTATTCATGTCTTTTCAGGATAATAAAGACTTGGAGTTGGACATTATCCCTGCAAGCCTGACTGACGACCCTGAGGTCAAACTTCGTGACCCCAACCACGAGGTCAATGAGGAAAAGAGGAAGTCCGCCAGGAAGAAAGAGTGAGTACAGGAATGAAGTGGGAAGGGAGAGAGAGGGCAAGCCTGTACACATTGCTGCTTCCTAAATAGAAATGAAAAATGTTGTCTTCTAATGTGTTTATAAAAAATGTATCTGTATAAGATGTTGGACATGGAACGCCTATGGACGGTTCATTTTCATTCATTCATATCATTTCAAATTTTGTTATAAAACAAACACAGTCCTGCAGATGCAACATGTCCAAGGTCCAAGGTCTCGTGTCGCGGATCCGAGAGATAGAACCGCAACACACCCGCTCCCCGGACTGTTGAGCTCTCATTAAGACAGTGTAACGGCGGCAGCGGCGGTGGCCGGTGGAGGCAGTAGCAGTATAGGCATATATTGTATTTGTATTGACACTAGGTTATTCTAGGTCATTTTCCACCTTATTTTAGTGTTTATTTACTACTTGAATCTGTTCCTCTTCTCTTTTTCCCACACTCGCACACGTCCACACACATAGCCTGCACCTCTAGTCTCTCACGGCAAACACGCCGGCTTGCTCCGCCTCTCTGTCTCTCTCTCCCTGTATGTGTCTCTGCTAACTTTCTCCATCAGCAGTACGTTTCATAAACTTACGCCATAAAGTACGCCGCATGTGGGTCGAAACCGAAACTGACGTTAGTGAGTGACATCTGCAGTGGTGCGTTCACTGTCGCTCCATGTCCTCTTACTGTAATATCAGATAACATCTCTCTCTCTCTGTGTTTCTCTGCAAAATGCTAAAGTGGGTTGCCAAATACACTTTGGCAGGTGCTAATATATCTGGCCGGCCCGCCCAAGTAAAGTATATGTCGAAATCACTCTATTTAAAGTTAGTGCGAGCTATAGGCTTATATTTTGATATATTACACCTTTGACCAATTTTTATTGACTTCCTGCGTGTTTCACGTGACTATTTTGGTTCAGTCATGATTGAGTGACCATACCTGCAACTTCAACTACATTAATATGAACCCAAGATGGAATATAATAATAATAATAATAATGCCACACCCCCCTCCAACAAAAGGGGGAGGGATCGAGGTCTGAACCGAACCGTGGATTTAGTGTTCATTTCATCCCTAGCCCAAACCTGTAACACATGAAGCATGTAACTTTCTGATGATAATACAGTTATAATATAGCTGCAATAATTTACTCTATTCAACCAAATTCATTCCTGTTCACTCCCAATTAGAGGGTGACACAGGAGTGGATTTTCACTCCTGTCCCATCCCACTCCCACAAAAATCCTGTCCTGTCCCAAACCCATGAAAGAGTAACAATATAAATTCCTGTCTCGTCCCAATCCTGGAAGAATGAGTCCCGTCCCGTCCTGTCCCGTTCTTGATAAAAAAATAGAAATGCATATTTAGATTTTAAAAAGGGATGTGTGATTCCCATCCTGTCCACTCCCGTTGACTTTTTTCCTGTCCCATCCCATTCCCCTGATGAATAGTAAAATTGACTCCCATCCCGTGGTAATCCCACATGAATTCTGTGACACTCAAGATTCCTGAAAAAACAGCCGCATCCCAATACAGTGTTTTCCCAATCTAATAATGATGACCATCTGCTTCCCATAGCATTCCCATTGTTCAGAATTTAAAGACATCATAAGTATGCTAATAGCGTAATTTACAGTTCAAAATCTCCTCCACAGCTTTCTGAATTATGTTTGGCTTGTCATGAGCTGTTTGTTAGGAATAAAAGTCTTGACAAACATTAATAGGCTCATGTGGCCATGGAAGAACCAGACTGAAAATGGGACCAATTATATAATTCCTGCCATGTGATTCTTCTTTTTAGTGTTTCCCATGGTAGTCTAAACTTTTGTCTTGTCTCAGGTTCATCATGGCAGAGCTACTGCAGACAGAGAAGACCTACGTCCGAGATCTCCACGAGTGTCTAGAGGTAAGAAAAAGCCTTCTGCTTGTCCGTTGTTGTTTTGACACTACAAATATTTTCATGTCTGCCTTACTGCCTGTTAGACCTACCTGTGGGAGATGACCAGTGGTGTGGAGGAGATTCCTCCAGGGATCGCCAACAAGGAGCATATCATCTTCGGCAACATGCAGGACATCTGTGACTTCCACAACAAGTAAGAGATACATACATACATTGCTTTTAATTAAGCCCAGTGTTGGTACTGGGCAGGGGCGACAGCCTGTGTTTGTTCAAACCAATTTTAGGCATTTCTGAAACCAGATGTGGGAATTCCCTAGCACATGGCATAGCAACAACCGTGGCATATTGCACACTGTGTTTTTAAGCTCTAAGAGCATGTAAGCAAATAATATGAAGTTTAACAATGGCAAAAACTTGCCAAGATCATTGCAGGCTTCTTGAAAATTTTTCTGCAGTGGAAATGCTCATAACGGTTTGCTCTGAAAACTCTGACTGCTTGAAAAAAAAAAACCTTGTCTGTACAGGGGAGCTGAAGAAGTGTCTTTGACAGTTCACACTCTCCAGACATTTCCCTGAGGAACCCTTTTGTTTCTGATCTCCTTCTAGTACCTCCGGAAATCCCTGTATTGGTTCCTCAAAGAAACAATTTCTTTTATGACTCCATTTAGATCTGAAAGGAACTTCTAACCTACAGGATATTATAATGAACTGTCTAGGGGTTATAGACATATTTATTATGTTCTCCTATCCTCCTGCCTAATGGTGAGGAAAACCAGATCACGGGGGAGTACAATACAGTTTTTATTTAGAGGTCCAGAGAAACATTTAGAGTAATTTAGCAGGTTTTCTGTTATAATAAATAAGAAAAATGGCAGATCCATACAAAAAAAAATGTGCACATTCACTGTATAACTTTATGCATTTGTTTGTTTCCAGTATTTTCCTGAAGGAGCTGGTGAACTATGAGCAGCTACCAGAGGATGTCGGTCACTGCTTCGTCACATGGGTGAGATTCAGCGCTTATTCCAGATGGTGTCAGAGCACAGTGGCAGTGAGCTCTGACCCCTGATTTTTACTCTTAATTTCTGTCTTGAATAGAGCATTATAAAATGACCCAGTATAATATAAACATTTTCTCCTCTCCTCTTTCCAGGCTGATAAATTCCACATTTATGTAGATTACTGTAAGAACAAACCAGACTCCAGTCAGCTCATACTGGAGCATGCTGGCAGCTTCTTCGATGTGAGTAAACCCTTCATTATTCTGCCACAGATCCATCCACATCCTGTCATCACACACACAACTATACTAAACAAAGTTAAAACAAAACCATTTATTCCATATATTCATCAGAAAAACAGCTCATTCCAAATAAAACTGTCTCCTGTAACCACCTCTGGTGGTAGATTCTGAAGTGTGTACAGCTGCAGGTTTCTAATTTCCCTCCTCCAGCCGGAGATGGTGATAGTGTATAGTTCAAGTCACTCAGCGGATGGCGCTGTTTGGTCATGGAAAAAGTTTACATTCCCAACTGCAGCAGCTTGCCTGAATCTAACATTTAACATCTATGACAATTTCATGTATTTGATTTTGGTATTTGCTGTAATTTTGTCTCTGTTTGTATAAACAGGACATTCAGCAGAGACGTGGACTGGCAAACTCCATCTCCTCCTACCTCATCAAACCCGTCCAGAGGATCACCAAGTACCAACTACTGCTTAAGGTAGATTCATCAACACGCACACACACACACACACACACACACACACACACACACACACACTTGACTTTAAATCTTTACACAAAAGGTGGTATATAAAAAAGTGAAAATGCGGGGCAACTGAGAAGAAGAACTGAGGCAGAGTGGGGAAGGAACCTGTGCTCATGGAATATGTTGACTAAATGTCTAAATGTCTAAATGACTAAATGTGAAGATAAAATATAATATAAAAAAATATTTTAAGTAAATTGTGTTTTTCTGCTTTTTCACTCTGTTATGCCCTCTCATCACTTTTAATATATTCTCCTCTCCTCTTGCAGGAGTTACTGTCTTGTTGTGAGGAGGGTAAAGGGGAGATTAAAGATGGCTTAGAGGTGATGCTCAGTGTTCCTAAGAGAGCTAATGATGCCATGCATCTCGCCATGTTGGAGGGTAAGATACTGTACTAAAATGTACAGTAATGCTGAAGTTGTCAACTTTACTTCTGTTCTTATTGGAATTTATATATTTTTTTCTGAAAATAGATTTCTGAACCATGAAGAAACATGGTGTTAATATCACTGTTATGTCACATTATTGTTTGCCAGTAGTGTTTTTTAGAATTAAAATATTTTAATCCACTAATACCTTTACTGCTGTCTAAGACAATGGTCAAAACATGTGACTATGTGCTCAGACTTTGAGCAGCTTGGTTGATATTACATCTTGGTCCTCCTCTTCCTCAGGATTTGAGGAAAACCTGGAGGTGCAGGGTGAGCTCATCCTGCAGGACAGTTTCCAGGTTTGGGATCCACGCTCGCTGATCAGGAAGGGGCGGGACCGACACCTCTTCCTGTTTGAGTTCTCTCTGGTCTTTAGCAAGGAGATCAAAGACTCAGCTGGCAGAACCAAATACCAGTACAAGAACAGACTGCTGGTGAGTGTGTGTTTGTGTGCTTCCATGCATGGTTTTAACAATGTTTATAGTCACGCAAGTGCAACAGGTGTGTAGCAATCCAGTCCAGGGGTCACCTCACTGCTGTCATCTCTTCTTTTACCTTGTGTGTGTGTTTGTATGTAAGAATAGCTATTGTGTGTTTTGGTCAAACAGATGGTTAGCTGTTGATGTTTATAATTAGATATTTGTCCTTCCACGCTCTCCTGCAGACGTCAGAGTTGGGGGTGACTGAGCACATTGAGGGCGATTCATGTAAATTTGCTTTGTGGGCAGGAAGAACCCCTTCCTCTGATAATAAAACTGTGCTAAAGGTAAGTGAGAAAATGGAATTCAAATGAAAAAAGTTTTCTGTCCTCTGATAAGATGTGAATGTTCTGATTTGCTGCCAGTATGAGGTGCTGCGTGAATATGTTATTCTGTTATTTCTCCTGCAGGCGTCCAATATGGAAGCTAAACAAGAGTGGATTAAAAATATCAGGGAGGTGATCCAGGAGAGGATGACTCACCTGAAGGGGGCGCTCAAGGAGCCTGTTCATCTGCCTAAAACACCAGCACTTACTAAACCCAGGAATAACACTAAGAGGTAAACAAGGACACACACGCACAAACATCATTTACACGTCATCAAGATTAAGAAGTTTGTATGTTATTGCTAGAAATTAGTGCTTACAAATGACACGTCAATGCAATCAATATCTGCTTGACTACCATTGGTAAGGTGTATTTATAGTAGTGAGAACATTTCCATTCATGGTGAATAAAGACCTCAAAAGGTTCAATTGTTATCTTTGACTGTAGTGACCATGAACAGAAACAATTTTTCCTCAAGCAGAAACGTTAACAATGAGGACAGAAGAGTTATCACCACTGGTAGAAATGTACTTTGTGAGTGGTAGAAATATCATGTCTGAGGTTACAAACATCACTGAGGACGGAAACATCATTAATGTGAGGGGAGAAACTAAATATCCGAGAATGGAAACATCTTTGCTGAGGGCAGAAACATTGCTGAGCTTCAGATTTACCATGTGTGCATGCTTTAGAAGGCTTAGATAGTAGAAAATAAATAATTTAGTGAACTTGATTCCAAAAACAACTGGGGGCCACAGTTCAAGTACAGCGTAGAAAATTGATATATTAAAGTAAATATTAGTATAGCATCATCTGTATTTCCAAATTTAAAAGGACAGACAAGATGCATTAAATTTACTCATTTAGCTGATGCTTTTATCCAAAGCGACTTAAAATTGCTGTACATGTCAGAGGTCATACACCTCTGGATCAAGTAGGGGTTAAGTGTCTTGCTCAGGGACACAATGGGGAATTGAACCTGGGTCTCTCACACCAAAGGCATGGTTTTATCCATTGCACCATCACCAGCCCTATCTATGCATGATGCATCAAGGAGATTTTGCACTTGACTTTTTCCCACCTCTACTGTTGCCACAACTCGAAATGTCATCACTGTAAACAGTGGTACTGCGGGCAGAAATCTTATCACCTTGGATAAAAGTGTCATCAGAGCAGATTGAAACCTTTTTTTTTAAGATTTCAAACAATGTGGTAATAATTTCACATCTGTTATCACCCAAGGTGAAAACGTCAGTGTTCAACAGTGATTTAAAGAATGATATTCAATCTGATTGTGTGTGTGTGTTTAGGGAGGGAGGTGAAGATGGAGACAGTCAGGGAGACGGGAGCAGCCAGCCAGATACCATCTCCATCGCCTCCAGGACGTCCCAGAACACTGTAGACAGCGACAAGGTAGGAAACACACTGAGTGCTGCGGATGACTTGTTATTTATCGAAGGACAGAAAAGGAGTTGAAGGCAGCTGATTGAGGATACATCCCAAGTCCCTTATTTGATATTTCCGAGCAGCGAGGAGGGATCTCTCAGGAGCCATGAGCGAGGAAACACTGAAGTCTTTTACTGGCCAACACACCCCCTTATTGGATATCAGTTATTGATTAAAAGCTGCCGCTGCCGAGTGAAGACAGATAACAGATTAAACTCAAGTGTATCACTCCTGAGTTTTATATTTGATTTGTTTTCTGATTCACCTTCTAGTTACAAATATGTCTTAGTAGTTAGAAAACCTTTTCTTTTCATGATCTGTTCCCCCATTAACTTTTATTATGGAAACATTTAAAGTCAGAGAGAGTCAGAGAGTCTATTCAGTCTCATTCTGTCACATGTGAGGCTGATAATTACTGAGCGTAGGGTTTCATATGAGTTACATCATTTTAATTTCCCCTGAAACATTTAGCCTAATAAATAATTTCCATTGTTCAGAATACACCATATGATATTCTAGGTTATCCGATGATTAAGTCACAATCAGAATATCATGAAAGACAAATGCAAATTTACATTACATTTATTCATTGAGCTGATGCTTTTATCCAAAGCAACTTACAATTGCTATACATGTCAGAGGTCGCACGCCTCTGGAGCAACTAGGGGTTAAGTGTCTTGCTCAGAGACACATTGGTAGATGGGTCACAGTGGGGAATTGAACCTGGGTCTCTCACACCAAAGACAGGCGTCTTGTCCATTGCACCATCACCACCCCCAAACAATAATTAAATAATAGAAATGCATTCCGCCAGTAGAAATGATCCAGTGCCTCTGAGCAGGACACAGCATAAATACAGAATACAGGTTATTGATCATGTGCAGGTGTTTGTTAAACAGGTAACAGCTAGAGAGAAAACATGCTGCTCTGGCAGTAATAACTGTGAGCCTTTGTTAGTATTAGCTGTTTAAGCCGACTGACAATTGATCCTGGTCCCTTCATGTGACACTCCAGAGGAAAGAATGTCTAATTTGTCCAAAAACGTATTTCCTCCTTCTCTTCTCATATGGTTTCCTTTCCATGCATTCCCGGTAGGAGGGACTCAGCAAAGGAAAAGACACAAGTGAGGGAAACGTGGGCGCAATTATTAGAGACTCGCTCTGTGACCTGTGATGAGCTGATTATCCACAGCTGTCTCAGCGCTACAGGGTCTCCCATGCAGCCACAATGGGCAGAAGCAGGGGCTGTGCGTGTGCCAGTGTCAGAAAGACTGTGTTTGTGCACAATTGGGTCCATGTGTTTTTTTTAAAACTACGTACAAATCCAACTGCGAGAGATAATGCAGTGCCAAAATTGTGCGTTTGTGAGTGTGTCATGCTTATCCTTAGGTTGAGGTTATGCATGCATTCGGTGTGGAGGCATGTGTATAGTTGATGTGTGTGTGTATGAGAAGTATCCAGCGGTGTCACCATATGAACAAAGAAGCAGTCAGTGATGATTAACCTCTTCAGGTTGTGTACAGGCATCTGTGCTGATGCTTCCTACCAACCAGCCTCTCACATCCAAGTAAGCCCATCTTTAAACTTATTTTGAAACTCAAACAGAATTCAAGTGCTCAAAAAATAATGCTAATAAAGTTTTAATGAGAAGTCAAATTTATGTTAAATTTAAATCTAAATGTGTGCATATGTCCATTCTGCCTGATCCCCGTATTGGCCCATACATTAAACTTTAACAGCAGGGTTTCCCAAACTTTGTTTGTCATAACAATCTTCCTGTACCTGTCACTACTTTAGTATTTGCTGCTCTCTAAATAAAGTACAGCCCTTTTTTTCTTTTTCTTTTTTTTTAAGAAGAAGGCAACAAGCAAACCAATTATAATTGTTAACATTTCTTTGAATTGTGTAATTGGATTTATGCTAAATTACAGAGTGAATCCAAGTGCTTTGTTTACAGGTCTTCATTCAAGTTTTGTAGTGCAGGTTAATTTGAAAATAAGCAACAATAAATAAATTTTACAGATTTTTGAAAGGGGTTTTGTGCAGCGGCTGTTAGTTCTGGTTGTTCTGATTGCTCAATTTAATTAGTTGTTTTGAATTAAACTGAGTGTCCAGTGTTAAAGTACCTCCCTTTTCACTGCGATGCACACACAAACACGCGCACACAAACACGCGCACACATCCACCCACACGCAACCCCACACAGATGTCTGTCATGGCCTCCCACTGTAATGTTACACAGTGTGGCCTTTTCACAGTGCAGCCCCACGCCTACACATTACCCTGCCTCTAAATGTCAGTACCATGCACATGGACACGCACGCGCACACAGACTCTTCTTCCCTCAATCAGAATGGCTTTAGCAGTGCAGCTTGTGTGTGTTGTATCTCGAACTGTTTGCTCCTCTACTGTTTTTTTTATTCTGGCATTGTCTCTATTCATGTCACTCATTCACCGCCACTTTTCTTTCTCATTTTCTGTCTGTTCATCTGTCTTGACACATAAAATACATCTGTGTCCAGTACGTGCTTATATAAACAAAGTGAACATCGTGCACCTACAGATCTACTGTACCGTAACGGTACATATGTGTATGGGATTTTATATTGCATGTGTGTATTCCTCTCCCCACCTCTTCCTGTCCAATGAAAACATAATGAATTTTTCCGTCCTTTTTTGAGTGTGGGTGCGTTGTTGCTCTGGTTCAGTTTATTGTTTCTAGGATTTTAGAAAACTCTCGCTAGCTATTTTTGGATCCTCCTCTTCTATTTTCCCGAGAAAGAAAAACAAAACACAGTTCCTACATTTTGTTTTGAAACGTTTCATATTTCATATATGACACGGCAGTGCATGGCTTTTATTGTGAGCTGCACTGTATATGTATTTCTTGGATGCAGTTTTTTACTGTAACTTTTTTTTGTTTTTAATTAGGCTTTACTTTTAGTTTGAGAGCTCAATTGTAATGTGACAACAAAATAAGAGCATGCCATACTCCCTTTTCACTTGCGTTTGTGCAGTTAATTTACTCTTGCCTAAATCTATTTATCTTTTGGGTACACATTTGGAGTGGATTGCCTCATGAGAAAGACTCATCTGGCTTGAGAGATCTGTTTTTAACCCAGGAGGATGGTGGAAGCGTGGCAGTACTTGTTATCTTGAATGTGGAGGGCGGTGGTGCTCCCTTTTTGTTGTGTTCCCATGGCTCTGCCGGCTCTCTAGGGATTTATCATCAAAGTATACAAATTCCTTGTGTATTTTGGAGTACAGACATGTCAAGATATAGTGTTTGAGTCAATGATCTGAGCAGGGGGGCATAATAGTCTCTATAATAGTCTCTCTAGATGGCTTTCACTGCAGTCCTGTGAAAAGACTGAAAACTTGACATGTGGACCAGTTCAGATTTATTTAATGACAATTCAGCTTTAACCCTGGCGGAAAAGAGCACCATTTCATACATCAGGCTCCTACATACAAAGCCATTTAGTAAGTAAACTTATTACAAAAGACTCAGCAGGTGACAGTGACTGATCAGGCCTACACATTGACTTTTTCTACACAGTAATCAGACCTGATTAATCAGAACACCTCAGTTTTTTCAGTGTGTGAGGAATAACTTACTGCACGTAGGAGAAAGCGCAAACACAAGGCAATTCTTCCCAGTTTCACTCACTGATAATCTGGTAAAAACCAAATGGAAAGCCGAGCTTGTAGTGATAAACTTGTAACCGTGACGAACATGCCTGAGACGCTGGCGAGGGGCTGTTAAAATCACGCATGGGCTTGGTTTGTAAACGCGTGCAGGCACATAAGAAGGGTTTGCTTGATGAGCTCATTAAGGCACAGTTTGACTACAAGTATCACCTTTTCTTCCAGTAGAAAAGAATAGTTTTGGCTTTGATTAAGTTAATATGTTCAGGTTGCTTTCTTTTTTTTTTCTTCACCTCTCTCTTTTCCCATAACCATGTTTTCTTGTCTGTCACCAGCCTTTTTATTCTTCTCTTCCTCTATTTTTATACCTCTTGCACTATTTCCTCTCTTTCCACCTTCTGCAATCTGTTACTTAATGACCCTTTCTTTGTGCACACATCCACAATTAGTTGATCCTTTTGCAACCCCATCTCTCTCTGTCTCGCCTTTTCTGTGTGTGTGTGTGTGTGTCTCTCTCCCTGCTCTCTCCCATATGCTATAATAAGAGCCCAGCATTGGCATAGTCAGATGTTCCACTGGCTGTCTGGATCTAGAGGGTGTGTGTGTGTGTGTGTGTGTGCGGACAGGGTGGGAAGCTACTGTTTCTGCTGGTTTTGGAGTTTTATATGACACATGCCTCCTTTTTTTTTTTTTTTTCTCCACTGTCCTATTTTTCTCTTTTTTTCTGTTTGCCTCTTACCTTCTCTCTCTGTATACTTTGGCTGTTCTTCCTCTGCATCTCTCTTCACCACTCAAAAGAAAAAATACAATGTTGTTACCATGCTATTATAGACAAACCCACCTCACTGTTACTATTTGAGAAGCAGGTTGACAGTTGGATGTTTAGCAGCTCCTCCAGCAGATTAATCTTCCTCCTTAAATATCATAATTGTCAGCCAGTGGCAATCACTGGGCTAGCTTAGCATACAGAATATATAGAACAGCCTTTACGTTTTTTGACAGTGCACATTTTACATTCGATTTGAAACGACACAGAGATATTAATATGCTGAGCTTAATATCATCTGGGGTCTTTACATACATTTTTACATCAGTTGTTGGATTCAAAGTATTTAATATACACAGTCCTCCAGTTTTTTGACAGTGCAGGAGAAAAAACATTGATGTAAAGACAGAATTAAATCTGAACGTCAGAACTTTAATCTTGTACTTTTTTACTGCATTTATTTTATTCACATCCAATGTGCTGGAGCTAAAACAATTAAAATGTGTATGTTCTATTCAGAAAAACAACAGCACTGATAGTTTGTTCAAACACTT